ATTTATATATATTTATATATATATTTATATATATTTATATATATTATATATAATATATATATTATATATTTACATATATATAATATAATATATATAATATATATTATACATTAATATATATATAAATATTAAAATATATTCATATTAAGAATATAAAATTATGCTGTACGTCTTTGGGTGTTAAAAACATGCATAAATAAATACTCAAGTCATGAGGAAATCTTCGTCTTCAGAGTCCTATGTGATTGATTGCCTAGGACTTAAAAGGACTCGTCAAAGGACTTAAAACTTTATAACATTTGCAGTCTCCTTCAGAAGTGACTCTGAAAGAAACTTTAAAAGTAAATAATACCATTTTCTTTTTATGATACGTTTATATTGGATAAAAGAAATTTTCTGGAGGAATTCTTCCCTAGGCAGGTCTCATGAACACACTCAAGTTTATTTTAAATTTCTTGAAAATATATTTAACATAAGATGGCAGCAGCAGTTAACCGCAACAAAAACAGTTGAGTATCACATCTATGCCTTAGTAAAAGACTTAAATACAAAATATTCATGTGGTGTTGAGGTATTTTTCTGTTTTTTCTTTTCTGTTTGTTTTCTTAAATTTTCTGTGAATATGTATTTGGGCAAAATATGTGATCAGGCATTTTATAGAAGCAGTGCAAGTGATTAATAAAATAATTATATTGAAATGTTAGTAGTAAGATAACGTTTTTGTTAGGTTATTTTAAATTAACACTATTAAGTGTTTCACAGAATAATATATGAGTAGTCATATATACTGCTGTTGAAAGTATAAATTAGCAAAGCTGTTCTGAAAAAGAAATTTAGATATTTGATAATTATTAGATAATTTAGTTATCAATTATCATTTAGATAAGAATAATTATTTAGATAAGAGCTATTCTGTCTCAGAAGGTACACCTGTGTGAGTACTACCCAAGGAAATAATCTGAAAGAACAAAATTATTAATTGCATTGTTATTTGACTATAGCAGTACATTGAGAAACATGAAACATTTCCACTGGGAAGTAGAGTGTATAAATAATGATTCAATATATTATGTGTATATCCACAAGCAGTATTGGCATTGGATATTTTATGACTTATAGTTGTATTAGTATACAATTCTCAGAAAATTGTGTGGTTACAACATATTAAAACATAACAGCAAAAAAAATCCCCACAATTATACATATTTAGAAATGTACTGGTTTGTGAGTTCTAGGAGGAAAAAAAACTAATGTTCTAAAATCAAGAGTGTTTACCTCTAGGTATCAAGTTCAAAGGTCATTTTAGTGTTCATTATGATTTTCTGTATTTTCCAATTAATGTATTTTATAATCAGCTTGCCTTATTTTCTTTGCTGTTGGTTATCTTCTGACAATCCTTTTATTTCTGGGTTTCTTGTTATGTATGCATGAGTTCCTTTCTGATACCATATGTTACTTGATTTTTGTTTCACATTTGGTTTTTTTAGGCCAAGATAGCGAGGTTAACCAAACGCTTTGGAGCAGCCAAAGAAGATCTTAAGAAAAGACAAGAAGTAAGAATTTCTATTCTTGTATAATTAATATTGAGCTCTAAGTGGTACTTGGATAATCGTGAGCTGGGAAGAAATTCTTCCTTTATTACAGGTCTGAAATTTGCTTTCCTACTTTGTACTTCCTATATGTTTTTTCAGAAGCTGCAATTCTGAAGCTAATATTAACCCTTTTCTAATCCTCAATTACTGTTTTCATATATCAACACTTATATTAATCTATTTTATAGTATTCCTGAAGTTATGTTTTGTTTCATTTTTAAAATTTTGTTTTTGGGATTTATCTTCTCATGTTTCTTTCTTTTTACATTCTTGCCAGGGTCCTATTTTTGTCTCTTATTTCCTCCAAGGTGCATTAGTGTACCATTGCCTGGAGTGGCCCCTTCTCATCTTTGCTTACCTCAGGTGGTTAAGTGCAAAGATTATAGCATAACATAAAACTCCAGTGTATAGTCTACCTTTTGCTTTTTGTTGTTTCCTTAGTTATTCTGTAATACATATATATATATATTTTTTTTTAATTTTTTTTAATGTTTGTTTATTTTTGAGAGAGAGAAAGAGAGAGACAGAGCATGAGTGGGGGAGGGGCAGAGAGAGAAGGAGACACAGAATCCGAAGCAGGCTCCAGGCTCTGAGCTGTCAGCACAGAGCCCAATGCGGGGCTCGAACCCACGAACTGTGAGATCATAACCTGAGCTGAAGTTGGATGCTTAACCGACCGAGCCACACAGGCGCCCCTGTAATACATATATTTTTAAAGAATATTTATTTATTTATTTATTTATTTTGAGAGAGGAAGAGAGAGCACGGGTAAGGGAGGGACACAGAGAGAGGGAGAGAGGGAATCTTAAGCAGGCACCATGCTGTCAACTCTGAGCCTGACACGGGGCCCAGTCTCATGGACCCGTGAGATCATGACTTGAGCCGAAATCAAGAGTCAGATGCTTAACTGACTGAGCCACCCAGGCACTCCTGTAATACAAATTTTTAATATCGCACTTGTATATTGCATTATAGTTTTCAGTTTAATATCTTTATTTTCCTCTTGACTTTTTCTATTATGGTACATTACATTTCTTTGTCATGAAAGCAACATTGTCTGGCACTTACCAATTGCCAATAACGGTTATTTCAATAGTAATTATTACTGTAGGATTTTCCTGTTTTCATTCATTTCATATCTTCTTTACTTGACTTTAAATAAAACCATTTTGAAATAATTATAGATTAATAAGTAGTTGTAGCAATACTACATAGACTCCTGTGAACTTTTCACATAGCTTCCCATAGTGGTGAAATCTTGAATAACTGTTGTGCAATATCAAAACCAAGATATTGGTACAATTCTGTTAAGTAGTCTGTAGACCTTAATCATTTCTGCAAAATGTAGACCAGTTTTTTCATGAATTCATTGTGTGTGTGTGTGTGTGTGTGTGTGTGTGCATGTACACATTGATCCCACGTACAGATTTATGTAACCTCTACCACAGTCAAGATCTAGAACTGTTCCGTCACCATGAAGGGACTCCCTCATCCTGCCATTTTATAGTTTCAACCTATCTCATTTCCCATACCTACCCACTCCTGTTCCCTGGCAACCACAGATCGGTTGTTCATCTCTGTATTCCTTTTACCTAACTTTTTAAGCTCTGGTTGCTCTTTTTCCTTGAGCAACTGATAGTTTTTATCTTTGTTCTACACAGACTAATCCCACCAAACCCTCCATTGGCCGTACCCAAAGATTTTTTTTTTATTATAGCTTCTTTAATTATTATAATTAATTCTTAGATTCTGAACTCCATTTGTCTCAGCTTTTGTTTTTTTGTCATAATATAAAAATTGAACTATTTGTCTTCTTATTTTAGAAAATTTATGTAAACCTTTTTTTTAGCCTTTAAAACAATTTTTTTTAATGTTTATTTTTGAGAAAGAGAGAGAGAGCACGAGCAGGGGAGGGACAGAGAGAGAGGGAGACACAGAATCTGAAGCAGACTCCAGGATCTGAGCTGTTGGCACAGAGCCCGACACGGGGCTGAAACTCATTAACTGTGAAATTGTGACCTGAGCTGAAGTCAGACACTTAACTGACTGAGGCACCCCTTTTTTACCCTTTTTTATTTGCTATTCTTGAACCAAACAGAGGGCTTTGTAATTTTTCCTTTGTTTTTTATACAATGTGAATTTCCACTTTTTCCCTTTTATGTCTGAACTACGCAGCATACTGCGCACTATATACTTTTCCAGTGTTTGTGTATGTCGAGTTTGTCTTCAAAACTACTTTCTAGTTCTTTTTGTTTAATTTATTCAAAGGCTGTAGGCAGTCACAAACTTTAAGGAATAAAAATGAAAATATTACAGTGCCTGAGAGGTTTGTTATGGAGAGTTAAAAGTATAATGGAAATGACAAACACTGTATAATTCCTAAAGATTGGAAAAGGTTAATTTGAACAATTAGGGTATGTGGTACTTGAAGAAAAATATTGAGGTGGTCTTCAAACTTTCAAATTTTGTTCCTTCCTCAATTAGCTTTTGGGTAAGGCCAGTTTTTTATGCCAAAACTGGGACATCTTTCTACCTATTCTTGTTGATATTTTCTTGTAACAGCGATTTCTAGAAATCTCAAGAATTTGTTCTTTCATGTCCTAATTCCCTTTAACTATGGTATCCACTATAATTTTACATCTGTGTCATGCTAGATTTTGAAAACAGGAGAGATACAGAATGAAAGTTTAGAACTTAGTTCTCGCCCTTATTAAAATAAATAAACAATAATACTTTAAGTGCTTTTCTTCTATTTAGATTTGCTCCTTGGTCCTCTGATATTAACCAGTTAAAAACAAACCCCACCATGCAGGTTTGTCTTAAAACATTTTCCGTTTTAGGTTTTAAAAGCAGAAAACCCTCATAGGCAGTTTACTATTAAGTCCACATTTATTGCCTTACAATTGCTATCTCTAATTTATATCCTTTCTAGTTCTTACTATAAAAGAAATGTAAAGATATTTCTCATTCTTTATCTATGAAAATCAATGATGTAATTGATTCAGTAAAATTTTAGATTAAATCTAAATTCTGCGTTTGAATTTTTTATTTAAAAATGTTTTGTTTTTTTTTAATTGTGCTACAAACACGTAACATAAAATATATCATTTTTAACTTCATAGTTAAGTAGTTTTAACTATATTAATAACATCATTGTGTAATAGATCTTTAGACATTTGTCTTCTTGCAAAACTGGAACTCTGAACCATAGAACAAGTACTCTAGTTTCCCCTCCCTTCAGCACTTGGATACTTTTTGTTTCCATGATTTGACTACTCTAAATACCTCTTAAGTGAAATTATATATAGTATTTGTTTTTTTGGCTCATCTGTATTGTAGCATGTGACAAGATTTCCTTTTTAAAGGTTGAATAATATTCTATTGTATGTATATAGTATACACCACATTTTCTTTATCCATTCATTTATTGATGGATATTTGGGCTGATTTCATCTCCTGGCTCTTTTGTGAATAATGCTACAATGAACATTGGTATGCAGATACCTCTTTGAGATCCTGGTTTCAAGTCTTTTGGATATCTACTGGAAAGTGAAATAGTAATTTGATTTTAGTTTTTTGAGGAGCCTCAAAATAAAAGAGACTTTTTATTAAAAAACTTTTTAATAAAAGAGACCACCCTATTTTTCATTCTTACCAGCAGGGAACAAGGTTCTAATTTCTCTACATTCTTGTCAACACTTGTTATTTTCTGTTTTGTGATAATGGCCCTCTAATGGATGGGAGGTGGCATTTCATTGTGGTTTTGATTTGCATTTCTCTAATAATTACTGATGTTGAGCATCTTTTCATATGCTTGCAGTCCATTTTGCATGTCTGTAGAGAATTGTGCAGGTCCTTTGCCTGTTTTTTAATTAGCTTGCTTGTTTTTTAATTAAGTAGTAGGACTTCTTTATGTATTCTGGTTATTAACCTCTTCCATCAGATATATTATTTGCAATTATTTTCTCCTGTTCTGCAAGTTTCATTTTTGCTCTGTTGATTGTTTCCTTTGATGTGCATAAGTTTTCAAGTTTGATGTAACCTCCTTTGTTTTGCTTTATTTTGTTGCCTGTGCTTTTGATGTTATATCCAAGAAATCATAACAAAATATGATGTCATAAAACTTTCTCCCTGTGTTTTCTTCTAGAAATGTTTAGTTTTGGTCTTCCATTTAGGTCTTTGATTTATTTTGAATTAATTTTTATATGTGGTGTAATGGTTCTGTTTCATTCTTTTGCATTTGAATATTGAGTTTTCATACCATTTATTGAAAGACTGTCTTTTCTCCATTGTGTAGCCTTGGCATCCTTGTTGAAAATCCCTTGACCTTATACATAAGAGTTTATTTCTAGGATGTCTGTTCTAGTCTATTGGACCATGTGCCTGTCTTTATGCCAGTACCACACTGTTTTGATTACTATAGCATTGTAACATGTTTTGAAATCAAGAGGTATGGAGGCTCCAACTTTGTTCTTCTGTTCTAGGATTGTTTTGGCAATTCAGGGTCCCTTGAGATTTCATATAGATTTTAGTATGCTTTTTTCTATATCTGCAAAAAATGACATTGGATTTTAATAGACATTGCATGGAAACTTTTGATCACTTTGGGTAGTATGGACATTTTAGCAATATTAAGTGTTCCAGTCCATGAACATGGGATGTCTCCATTTGTGTCTTTTATTTTAATCAACACTGTTTTGTAGTTTTCATATTAAAGGTCTTTTGCCTTTTTGGTTAAATTTACTTCTACATATTTTATTCTCTTTGATGATATTGTAATGGGGTTGTTTTCTTAATTTCTTTCTCAGATTGTTGGTTGTTAGTATATAGAAATATGATTGATTTTGACTTTTTTTTTTTTTTATCCTGCTGCATTGCTGAATTCATTTATTAGTTCAAACTTTTTTGTGTGTACCTTTTAGGGTTTTCTGATTATAAGATCATATCATCTGCAAACAGAG